CCAAGATGACTCTTGTGCAAGCGTATATAAGTGAAGCAGCGGCGTCGATTGAAGCGAATCAATTACAATCTCTCAAAAGGCATTTGAAGAGATGAACGAGATCTCTCACTCTCGGAGTCCCTTGTCGTACATATTCAACCGCTGATCGAGCCGCTTCATAGGTCAATTGTGACCAAACCCTTCCAACTAACTTATAAACTCTATCTATTATCTTAGCATATCGTGGACGTAGCGATCGGCCCTCGAAAATAAGCTTCGATGCAACTACGTTCTGCATACTCCTGAAACTGAGACTTGATAATATAGCGGCACGACTAACCATTTACTCCGTAGACTGATTCTTTTTTCCATTTGCCTGGAATCTGGGAAGAGGAAGTACGAAGCACCTACGAGATAACTGCATGATAATACAAGACGATGTGTCCGTTGCGGTTGTCATGATCATACGATGGCTCGGGATTTTGAGCAATGGTTCTGTAGAATATTGATAACTAGTAGTAGGTCGAGGTTTCTTTTTCTTGCAACTGTTTGATGTATAATTATACTTTCTTGCATCACGATTTGCTTTTGGGAGATGAGCATCAGGTGTCATTCGAGGTTTCAAATGCGGAAGAAGAAAGTATTATGAAAAATTGCTCTGATTGTAACGTGATTTTGACTTATTTCAAATGAGATGAGATGAGATGAACTCAGAAATGTACGGAGTATACCCTCGCGTCGACGAATAAGACAAAGGGGGTGTCAATTCACAACAAAAGGTTTACCTTGACCTGTGAACTAGGGGTTGACTTGCCTGACTTGCCTGACTTGATTGACTTGATTGACTTGATTGACTTGCTTGACTTGCTTGACTTTGCTGGATCACGACAAGCATACTACACAGTCTACACAGTCTACAGTATTACTACTATGATACTAGACCAGAGACCAGGTACCTACTTGGTCGTAGTCGAAGATGCAATGCACTGGACGGATTTTACCCGCGAGCGAATCAAAGATCAATTGTACCTGAAAGTATCTGAGCGTACCTGACACTTGACCAATTTAAGACATTCTTGACGGTTAACAGCTCCAATCATCCTTTTCCGAAAAGTATATACTCGTAGTATAGTTCGATAATTAACTCGACTAACTGATAACTTACATTAATGTTCATATTACGCCTGTGTGCAAACAAGAAGATACCGAGGGCAGAGTACAGTTATTAGTTGTACAAGATATAGATGAAGAAAATCTTTATGTGAAACATGAACTCGAGAACTATCCACGATAGTTCGTGATTACAATTACAATACTACTTTACGAGGATTTAAACTTCCAATTATCATCTCATAAGCTCATGAGCTCATCCAGCCAGCCGTCATCTCCAGAGTTTTGCGTTCAAAATCTGCCTCCTCCAAGTTCTGCGGCGCTTCCCCTCCCTTTCTAGAATCACCCCATGAATCCATTGGGTTCATTATTTATCACAAAAAGCGCTTGGGAAAACTTCCTGTCTCATAAATCAGAACTCATCCGGGTACTTGCTTTTGGAATTCTATGTCTTACTTCTACTATCTCAACATCAATCGAAAAGCTCACGAACCATTCATTCACAGCTTTGATTCACATACTGTGTGTGTGTGTGTGCACTGTGGTATAGTATCAATCAGAGGCAAAATAATTGAAAACTCAAATGGTTCGGAAGGGTGACGGATGGCCGAGGCTTCCACCCCTTGATCCCAGCCGATATAAGATTCGTCCACTCATAACTTTCACTCATAACTTCACAAGGCCCGAGTCCCGTCCAACTTCCAAGCTTTGAGAGAATTTACCCCAACAAGTATCCAGCTCAACCTCAAGGTATAGAAAAGTATATACAGGACATACAGGACATACAGTACATAGACACGACCGACACCATATCCAAACGCCCTGTTCGATGTAATTAAAGCTTAAAGTATATTATTATTATTATGATTATTATACATAACCGCTGCTCATGAATCCATCTTCATGTCAATTTTCAAAGCAGCCTCCAAACTCAACATGATCCGTCTTACCAATCAAGCCTTAAGATCGCCAGGAAAATTATCAGGCTGAACGATCTACCATCTCTATTTGCCTGGCCAGGAATGGTAATTTACTTTTCGAGTTCCCGGTTCAAATCATCTATCATCTTATTAATATATGGCGATCAACCAGGCTTTTTATTTTATTACCCTGCGAGCAGAAATGGAACGGCCGAGACAAGAAAATCACGGAAATGAATTCTTTTTCCCGAGCGGGGCGAAGGCGGGGGGGGGAGGAGGGAGGAGGAAAAATGACATGACGTTCGAAATCTCTTGGGAGCTGAGCGCCCCGAATCCTTGGGTAACCTTACTTCTTGTCATCTTGTTGCAAGGCTCACACGGCTCAGTCCCCATTGATCATAACATCGGAGATTTGCGTTCGATCCCGAGAAGATTTAATTCTGAAAGGAAGACGCAATAACACATAACACGCGTTGATGGACACAATTAACACACCACTATTTCTGTCGGATTGGCAAAGGCACAAACGCTGCAAGTTGCCGCTTTAAATTCTAACAAATGCAGTGCTGCGAACTACTTCAAAGTGCACGCCATGTATATGTACCAGCAGTGCAGGGTACGGGCAATGCACATCGATAAGCTTACGGCAAAGCTTTTTCTCCATCAGAAAAGTCCTCACATGCTGAGTTGACAATAATATAGACCCATCCATTCTCATCACCATCATCGAATAGCGGGAGATGTTCAATCTTGTTTTATATCTAAGTCTAGATTTAACATTACGTGGATATTCTTGGCTCATGCATAACTACGATTTAAATAAAGTGTTAACTGCCCAAATATCGGCATACGCCGTTATCTGCCAAATACCTAGTAACGGAGGATATCAGGCCGGTCGCATTGCATGATAATGGCGAGAGCGGGAAGATGTCGGGGTGGAGAGTATCAGGCAGGCAGATCCAGTAGATCCGGGAAAGTTGCCCACCATGAGTTGTTTTTCTTTTTCTCTTGCGGAAATCAACCTAGTTGCTAAAGAAATGATTATCTTGTGCTTTAGTCCATACTCTATTTTGAATGGCCAATACCTTCTTAATACCTCCCATCAAAATATCACCATCCGGCTGCTTTGTTCAACTGATTGTCTTCGCCATAAAAGTCTGCGAACCCGCATCCTTTCCGAAGCTTTCACTTCATATTTTCATCTTAAGCAGAATATCAATCATCTATATCGAAGTGCAGCGCGACAATCAGGATGCGCGGTTAAATCCAAATACTCGTACGAGTGCTCGTACGAACATCAACCTCCCGTGAACACAATTCCATGCTGTCAAACCCCGTACAAGAAATTACATATTAGTAGTCTAAGGAGGCTTGCATGCGAGGTACCACATCGTGAGCGTGCTTAGTCAAAGCATAGTCTTCATACGTTTCATGAACCTTGGTTTGTTATGAGTTTGATGGTCTAGTGATAGGACAAATGAGGCGAGGTGCACTAATATTGTTGGCATAAAATGAATATCTGGAAAATTTGCTCTTCTTTGGGATCGAGGTCAAGAGTGATTATTCTAAAACCGGTGTATAGTGGTAGTACTCGAAGGCAGGTTGTGAGCTGTGTATCTCAAGTTTTAAACCTCATTATTATACGATTTGCTGCATCTGAATAAAAACTACCGCTGTTGATCAAAAGACTGCCTATTGTATGGGTGAATTCTGGGAAATGTTCAATTATATTGCAGCATTCGCAACCACTCAGACGTAAATTTGGGAGTACGATCTATTTGTACGTTGATACTTTGAAAGCTCTTTTGTTGGCGGCGGGAAACCAAACGATCTTTGGTCTCCGAGGTAACTAGTATAGTAGTACAACATGCGTTTTTCCGTCGGTCTGAGTTCGAAATCTACACTCATACCATCTGACTTTGAGGTTTGCTCGTGTTAGTAGAGAAGAAAGGTAAGAGAAGCAACTAAACCTGAAAGTGTAATGATTGTTGAGTCCTAATGGTCGCTCCGGATTACCAGACTTATTTGTATATTTGTATGAGATCCGCAAGATGGCAAGGTATACACCTCCGGTATTGTTATTGGAGAAGTGCATCTCATTAAATTCTGATATGTATCCCGCCATGCACCATACTGTAATATAGGTGACAGCATCACTGCGGCTCATTGTACTGTACACTTTCTTGCTGCTTCGCTTGTTCGATGAATCATGTAATTTACATATGATTCATGAGTCATGATCACAGAGGCGGGGTCTAGTGACACGCCTGGGTAGCTTAATCCCATGTGCGACTCTATCAAGCTTTTCAATGTGATTGCAGATTTAAGTTATTCAACTCAAATCCTTGACAGCATTCTGTTGGATGCTTTCAAGTAGCTGAGAATTCAAATCTACCATTTCTGTTGAACTCCTGAAGTGATAGAGTCTCGTCGATATGTACTTTCTAGTTCGTACTCGCTTTGCTCCCATTCTGAAGTTCTTATTTGGTCTCATGATATAAGGTAATACTGCGTGTGATTGATGAACTTTTCGGCAGAGGCTCTACGAGTTTCACCACTTTATCCAAATCTCTAGTCAAGCCTCCTTGGAAAGACTGGTGGACTGCAGGAAAGTATAAATCAACTAGAGGTTATGGAGAAACCAATACCAAAAGTTGTCGTGCACTTTTCTCTGTCGAGGGAAATTCCGTTGTGTAGGATGAAAAGTACCGCACTGGTTGCTGAGCAAGCGGGCGGGTTTGATGCCTGGTTCGTTCTTTTACGCATCGAATTCTTTCCTTCTGGAATGAAATGATAGATATGACCAGCTGACGAATGAGCATCATTCTACGGTTTACAACAGTGATGCAGGTTCGTAGTAAGTTTATGTTGGAAAGCGTGTATATTAATGGAGTGCTTCACGCTCCAATACTCATTCATGAATCTATCAAATATTTTTGACCAGAGAACAAGCTTGTGCACGATATTAGTGTTCTCCAAAGAAAGATAATCATGCCTACTCCCAAGTACTGCAATCAGTATCCTAAATTTCCTGCCGATCTCAATGTTGCCAGTATTCCAACTATTTCATTCAACCAACTCTAAGATAATGTGAATGATGAGTCCGAAAAGCTTCTTCAGGCATGCCAAGAATACGGTTTCTTCCTCTTGGAATTGAGAAATGATGATCAAGGTGAAACTTTGCTAGGCGATGCAGAGAGGATGTTTGACATTACTACATGAAAACTTACACTTGATCACGAGGTATTGAAAGAAGACGTATATCAACCACCGAAAAGTATCTTGGGGCGAGTTCTATCTCATCTTAATCTTTGTGAAAGTTTCCACTTGTTGGTGGCGGGAATCACGGGATACGTACGCCTCACCTTCCCACGGTTTGTGATATATTTGATCTCTTATTGAGGAATACTGGAACTTCTGTTGGTTTGGTTGATTTGTCGTATACTATGAAACCGAATTCCGCAGCACTTGAATCAATCTTAAGAGATTCTGCCAAATTCAGTTTTCGCTGAGTTTCATTAGTCTAGGCACCCACTTCTGATTCAACTTTTTGTGCTTGGGAAGAAATGGACAGTTGACGTAATTAAACTACGTCTATTTATAAAGCTACTGGCGTATTGAAGACCGACGACGGAAAGCTCGATAACATAGCAAAGTATTCCCTCGGACAAGACGACATACTTGGAACAGGTTCACCACGTGCAAACCCCTCGCCAATCGAAACGCGCCGTGAAGAATGGAAATTGTTCTTCCATCACGCCCATGGATTTCTGAACGTCATGTTTACCCACCTTGAAAAACATCTGGGTCTCGCACCTGGTACCCTGGTGTCCATGGTCTCTTTAGGCAAGGAATCAGACACCTCTCTACGCATACTACTTAGTCGTCCTCAATCATCCACACAGGATCCCCGGATCACATTAGGCGGCCATACAGATATCATATCGGAACCATATTAATGCTCTTCAATATCGCAGGGGGTCTACAAATTCTTCCCTCCTCAGCAGAAACCCGTAACGAGAACTGGCAATACATCCGTCCGGTACCAGGCTGCGCACTGATAAATATCGAAGACACGATGGTCGAATGGACAGGTGGAATATGACGGAGCTTACTCCATCGTGTTGTTACTGCGCCGGAAAACAGGCGGGCGTTACGAGGCAGAGTTTAGCTTATTTAGTGAGATCGGACAAATATGCTTCGATGAAGGGGTTGGAGAGTAAGGGGGTGATTCCCCGGTTAGAAGAAGGAGAACAGGAGGGAAGTAGTGTGAGTGAGTGGAGTGCTTGGAGGGTAATCTAGATCATGAAAGGGGAGTTGAAATCAGGTACAAGAGGTGGGAGTAGGGCGGGCAAACTCAGTGGAGAGGTGAAAGTTTGATCGATTTAAGATGAATCCGGATTTGAATCGGGGTTACAAATATTTGATGGCGAAATGTACTTACTGAAAACTTGCCCTTCCACGGGCCTCATTCGTCGTTGTCGCGAGCGTCTGGCTATTTAACGTAGTCATGTTCCGTGTAGTGTAGATGCTAGTCTTTTGACAGAGCAAAAGGGTTAATCGCACGCAGTAATTAAACATCGCCCTCCATTACATATTGCTCTGGTAAATTCCAGAGAGAGATTCAAGACTACTTGAGTATAAACAAGGCGAGATGATTAATCGAAGCGGAATTGTCGCTTGCAATCGTTCGGCCAAGCTCAAATTCAGTATACAGTAATGGAATGGGCAAGAAAAATATTTAAGAAATAGCTTATATATGAGTTTAAAGCTTGGGGTTGGAGATGAGCTTTACCCGGGATATATGGTGAGCAGAAAGTGTATATATGACAAATAGAGGGGGTTTGGAATAGGTTCAGAATGGTCGAGTCCCAGGAACCAGAATGCTCGATTGAATGCGAAACACACTTCTAGTTGATTATATAAAAAGATGTAGATTTGAGAGTGAAGTCGGGAGCCTGGTGTGTTGTGAAGATTTGAAACATAGAAAGTATTTTAGTATATGGAGAGCAATTCTGGACCAACAGAGAAGTTCTCATGGTTCTGGTAGATATGGGGAAGAGGAAGAAGTTTGTGACTACTGATTCATCCACACCCCTCAAAAGCTTCCGAAATTATGATACTGCCGTGAAGAAAAAGAAAGTGATATCATACAATTCTCAATTGGTATACGATGTACAAATCGGGGACTGTATCCCACAGGAAATCAAGCACCCTTACCAACAACACCTAACGCCACGCTTTCCCATCTTTCCAGTACCATATTCCCCTATGTTTTTTTGTTCATCGAGAACCCTCTTGTCATGAAATCCCCGCCCTTTTGTTTCTGTGCATTGTATCCGGTATTCAAAAACAAACTCTTAAGATTGTCATTCATCCCCAACTTTCGTCTTTTATTTCGTTCCTCTTGCTCTTCCAAAACTTTTGCTGTTAAATTTGCCGCCGATGCATTTTTGATACCTGAAGGTACTGTAGATGGTCCATTATTTGACTTTGGTATCGCTAGTCTATTCCCATTCTCTTGTATTCGAGCCTGGGTCTTGTCGGCAACTCCATTTTCCTTTGATCGAGATTGGTCCCTGTCAAGAGATGTTTCCTTCCCGCTTTCTAAGGGGACTGCAGACTCTGTTCCCGCCGCGTGCTTTCTTTTTTTCTTTCCCCCTGGAGCTTTCTTCAGTGAATGAGTTAAGCCTCCTCCCTTTAGCTTACTCGCTCGCAATGCTAATCTTGAGATCTCTTCTTTCGATATGGGAAGTATAGATATAACATTCTCCGCAGTATATCCCTCATTACACTCAACACATGTATCGCTTTTCAGCTCTTTGATCGCAACTTCTGAAAACGCATGTCCACACGGCACTAAATAGACAGCTCTGGTACCAGCTCCCAACTCCTTACTGGTTATAGGACATATCTTCTTTTCTTCCTTATCTTCCTTGACCGTAGAGAATTTGACTTCTACAATATCGCGAAGTCCCTTGACTCGTCCCTGCAGAATATCTTCCTTCTCCTTTATGACAGAGGCGGGAACATCGTCGTCTTTAGGAAGTAACTGTTCGAGAATGGCATCTTTGTTGTAAAGCGTCCCGGCGCAATCGGATACAATAGGTGTAGTGAGAGGTTTATTGGAGAGAGGACAATATGTCCAGGCGTGTGTCTGTGATTCGTGAAGGGTAGCTTTTAATTCTGAGGTATTTGGATTGCGGGCGGCTTCTTTTACAAGTTCGCGACGAGTAGGAATACTTCCACCATCGTTACCCATGACGAGGAAATAGATATGCGCTGAATTGGTAAAGTTTCAAACCCTTGAAGATATGGAACGAATGATTTTCAGAGAGCGAACTTGATGAGTGAGATGAATAAGTCTTTTTTTCTTTCTCTTTTCGTCGTCGAAAGATGGTAGGTTTGACCTTTTGACTGAGGCGGTCTTTGGAGTTCTTGAGGCGGTCCTACTGATAAGGTCGTTATCGCCACGCACCATATTAGTGAATGTGTGATTTAGCGTACTTTTCACCTGGAACTCGTCTGTTCGGCATCAAGACATTGAACTCTCCGTCATTTCATTAATTAATAGGTAATTCATAAGACAGTGAGTATTTCAAACTCCTGCCTGCCCACAATCACACTGCAGGTTTCTTCAAAGCAAATACAACAACGAAAAACGATTACTAAGCCGGGTAGCCGCACAAGGACGAGGACGAGGACGAGGATGAAATGCGCATAATACTGTTGCTGGTTGAATTGCAAACCCATCCATTGAGAGAAGCTCTGAAAAGACGCCAAGATGTCACAACAATCTAATCAAGCATTTGATGCTTTGAATCGCATTGTGGCAGATTTACGATCACGGTTAGCTTGACACAACTGAGTATATTGCTATGCGGTGTTGGTAGCTAATGATTCGAATGTAGGAGTGATGAACAACGAAAGAGAGCAGCCTTGGAGCTAAGAGAGTTGCTCGAGGTTGCTTCCAGAGGTAAGGCTTACATTTCATATCAGTCTATGGGAGTGGGAACTAATCAATGTTCTGGTAGACTTTCCCCAGGAACGATACACGGAGTTTTCCAATATTGTCAGTGGAAAGATCACCAGTCTCATCGGTCACCATGGAGATGTTGAGCGAACTGGTGGTATATATGCTATCGATGCGCTGGTCGATTTCGACGGTATAGAAGTCGGACAACGAGTCACTCGATTTGGACAATCCCTTCGAAATATACTGAGAGGGAAGGATCTTGCTCCTATGCAACCGGCGGCGATGGCACTGGGGAAGATGTGTAGGCCTGGAGGTTCATTGGTGTCGGACCTGGTGGAGAGCGAGATTAAAACCGCACTGGAATACTTACAGTCCGATCGAATTGAGGAAAAAAGATATAGCGCCGTTCTGGTTTTGCGAGAATTGGGCAGAAACTCTCCAACACTTGTTTACACCTTTGTTGGACTAATATTCGATCAGATATGGGTAGGTTTGAGAGATCAGCGACTTCTCATCCGACAGACTGCAGCAGAAGCTATAAGTGCATGCTTTCAGATAATTAGGGAGAGAGACCCAACTTTACGACAGACATGGCAGGCAAAGATCTACGACGAAGCTGTTCAGGGTGTGAGACAAGGGACTGTGGAATATATCCACGGATCCCTTCTTGTGATTAAGGAGCTTCTTCAGCAAGGTGGTATGTTTATGCATGAGCATTATCCAGAAGTCTGCGAAATCGTTTTTCGACACAAAGATCACCGAGACGTACAGATTCGTAAAACCGTTGTCATGCTGATACCAGAATTGGCGAACTATTCCCCCACCGAATTTGCTCAATCCTACCTTCACAGGTTTATGGTTTTCTTATCCGGTATGCTCAAGAAGGATAAGGATAGAAATGACGCATTTCTGGCCATTGGAAATATCGCCAATGCTGTCAAAAGTGCTATTGCCTCTTACCTAGATGGAGTTTTAATATATGTTAGAGAAGGCTTGTCATTGAAGTCGTAAGTTCTGCCCGAGTCTCATATACATATGCAAGCTAACCAATCCTTTCAGGAGACGACTCGGCACAGTGGACCCAGTTTTTGATTGCATCAGCAGGTTAGCAGTCGCAGTTGGGCAAACCCTCAGCAAGTATATGGAGGCACTTTTAGACCCTATATTCGCATGTGAGCTAAGTCCCAAGTTGACTCAAGCTTTGGTGGATATGGCTTTCTATATACCACCAGTAAAGCCTATCATCCAAGAAAGACTGCTAGACATGTTAAGCAAGGTTCTCTGTGGCGAGCCATTCAAACCGCTGGGAGCCCCTACACCAAACAACATTGCCGCTGCACCAGTCGTGCCAAAAGACTCAAAAGACCCACAAGCATATGAGCACCGCCAAAGCGAAATCAAGCTAGCCCTTAATACTCTAGGCAGTTTTGACTTTTCTGGACATGTTCTAAACGAATTTGTGCGCGATGTTGCTATCAAATATGTTGAAGACGAGAATCCAGAGATCAGAGAGGCAGCTGCTTTGACGTGCTGTCAACTTTATGTCCGAGATCCTATTGTTAATCAAACGAGTCACCATGCGATTCAAGTCGTTAGCGAAGTTATTGAGAAATTACTCACCGTCGGTGTTGGAGATCCGGATCCTAGCATTCGAAGAGTGGTTTTAGCTGCCCTTGACGAACGATTCGACCGACATCTTGCCAAAGCAGAGAACATCCGAACTCTGTTCTTTGCTTTGAACGACGAAGTATTCCAAATCCGTGAAGTCGCCATCACGATTATTGGCCGGTTGACGCATGTAAATCCTGCATACGTCATTCCTTCTTTGCGAAAGGTCCTCATTCAAATGCTCACAGAACTTGAGTTCTCAGACGTAGCGAGAAACAAAGAAGAAAGTGCTAAATTGCTTAGCCTGCTAGTTCAAAACTCACAGAAGTTGATTAAACCATATGTTACTCCTATGATGGATGTTTTATTGCCCAAAGCTCGCGATCCTAGTCCAGCTGTGGCTGCTACTATTATGAAGGCTATCGGTGAACTTGCCTGCGTTGGAGGAGAGGGCATGATTCCATTCATCAAGCAGCTTATGCCTATAATCATCGAAGCTTTGCAGGATCAAAGCTCTTCTGCCAAACGTGAAGCTTCTTTACGAACTTTAGGTCAACTGGCAAGCAACTCAGGCTATGTCATTAAGCCATATCTGGAATATCCCCGACTTTTGGAGATTTTGCAAAATATCATTCGAGGAGAACCACAACGAGGACCATTGCGACAAGAGACTATCAAATTAATGGGTATTCTTGGTGCTTTGGATCCATATCGACATCAACAAGTTGAAGAGCGATCTCCCGAAATGCAATTACGTCTGGAGTCAAACCAGATGACTGACATATCTCTTATGATGACGGGACTGACACCTTCCAACAAAGAATACTTCCCAACTGTTGTGATAAATGCTCTTCTCAACATTTTGAAGGACCCATCCCTCAACCAACACCATGCTATGGTTATCGAAGCCATCATGTCAATTTTCAGGACCTTGGGACTAGAATGCGTTTCTTTTCTTGATAAGATCATTCCTGCATTTTTGTCTGTAATCCGAACTTCTCCACAAACCCGCCTCGAGTCATACTTCAGTCAGTTAAGTTTGCTGGTGACCATCGTCCGACAGCACATACGTAATTACCTACCAGAGATTGTTGTCGTACTTCAAGAGTACTGGAATGAGTCTCCGCCACTGCAAGCTAACATACTTCACCTTGTTGAGGCTATCTCAAGATCTCTAGAAGGCGAATTCAAGGTTTATTTGGCAAGCCTACTGCCACTTATGTTAGGCGTGCTCGAGAAAGATACTACAACAAGACGACTCCCCTCAGAGCGTGTGCTACATGCTTTTCTGGTGTTTGGTCCTAGCGCTGAGGAGTATATGCATTTGATCGTGCCTGTTATCGTTAACGTATTTGAAAAACCTCAGCAACCTTCATTTATCCGAAAAGCCGCGATTGAAACTATCGGTAAGATCTCAAGACATGTCAACCTGAACGATTACGCCTCGAAAATTATACATCCCCTCTCGAGGGTTTTGGCTGGTAGCGATAGCTCATTGAGATTGGCATCACTTGACACCCTTTGTGCTCTAATCTTCCAGCTCGGAAGGGATTATTTACATTTTGCCGGCACAATTAACAAAGTTCTTAACAGTCACCAAATTCAGCATCAAAATTACGAACTCTTGGTTAGTAAACTTCAGAAGGGAGAAGCTTTACCGCAAGATCTGAGTGCTGAGGAACGTTATCTGAATCAATCCGATGAAGTCGACTTCTCGGATGTTTCAAATAAAAAACTGGACAGCAATCCTGTCCACTTGAAGGCTGCTTGGGATGCAACAGGGAAATCCACCAAGGAGGATTGGCAGGAATGGATGCGTAAATTTAGTGCATCCGTGCTATTAGAGTCGCCAAATCACGCACTTAGGTCATGTGCTCAATTGGCTTCAGTGTATCCGCCCCTTGCCAGAGAACTGTTTAATTCTGCTTTCGTCTCATGTTGGGGAGAGCTATTCGAAGGTTATCAGGATGATCTGATACAGAATATCGAGATGGCGATCAAATCTCCTCACGTCACTCCTGATCTTTTGGGCATCTTGCTGAACCTTGCAGAGTTTATGGAGCACGACGACAAAGCCTTACCAATTGATATAAGGGTTTTGGGACGAGAGGCTGGTAGGTGCCATGCATGGGCCAAGGCTCTTCACTACAAGGAACTGGAGTTCTGTCAAGATCAAACTAGTGGAGCTGTTGAAGCATTGATTCAAATTAACAATCAACTGCAGCAGTATGATGCCGCAATCGGTATTTTACGAAAAGCGCAACTCTACAAGGATGGTATCACATTACGAGAGACTTGGTTCGAGAAGCTCGAGAGATGGGAAGAGGCTCTTGAGTTCTACAAAAGGCGCGAGGAGGATTTCCCAGATCAAGCAGAAACTTTCGATGTTATAATGGGTAAAATGAGATGTCTACATGCCTTGGGAGAGTGGGAATCTCTCTCGGCCTTGGCCGAAGATAAATGGCATACCTCGTCACTCGAGATCAAGAGAGCCATTGCTCCTTTGGCCACAGCAGCTGCTTGGGGTCTCAGAAAGTGGGATCTTATGGACGATTACTTGAGTGTCATGAAGAGTCATACACCAGATCGATCATTCTTTGGAGCGATTCTTGCCTTGCATCGCAATCAATTTCGCGAGGCTGCCCTTTTCGTTCAAAAGGCCAGAGAAGGCCTGGACACCGAATTGAGTGCTTTGGTTAGCGAGTCTTACAATAGAGCCTACACGGTTGTTGTTCGGGTACAGATGCTTGCAGAGTTGGAAGAGCTCAGCATATATAAGCAGAGCAACAACAACCCAGCCAAGCAGGAAGTTATGCGTCAAACCTGGGAGACTCGTTTGCTTGGATGTCAACGAAATGTTGAGGTTTGGCAGAGAATGTTGAAGTTAAGAGCTTTGGTCATAACTCCAATGGAGAACATGCAGATGTCTATCAAATTTGCGAACTTGTGTAGGAAGTCGGGAAGAATGGGCCTGGCCGAAAAGCACCTCAAAACTTTAATGGGCGGCGATGAGAGCCTGGACGTGGTATTACCTCAGATTGTGGAGAGCGCAAACGGAGACCGACGAGTTAGGGTTTCAAACAAACACATTGAAGCTCCGGTTCAGTATGCTATACTGAAGTTTCACTGGGCTGTCGGCAAGCAATCTCAAGCATTGGAGGCTCTGAAGATATTCACATCTGGTCTGGCAGAGAAACTCCAACAAGCACAGATCGCAACTCAAGGGGGCATCTTAAATGACATGCATGCCATGACCCTTCATAATGGCACGAACGGGATGATGAATGGAAATGGTTACACTAATGGTCTCGGGGCAAATGCCCACAATCTGCTAACACCAAAGGGCCTGGCTGATCATACCACACTCCTTGCTAGGTGCTGTCTTAAACAAGGAGAGTGGCAGGTTGCCCAGAAAAAAGGTAACTGGCAAACCGACAATCTTAACGATATCCTTGCCTCATATAAAGCAGCCACTCACTTTAATCCACAATGGTACAAGGCATGGCATGCCTGGGCTTTGGCAAACTTCGAAATTGTTCAGGCTGTTCAGGCAGACCCCGGGCATGAGTTGCATGATGTAAATGGTGGTAATGTCGTCGTTAATCACGTCGTTCCTGCTGTTCGTGGTTTCTTCAAGTCAATTGCTCTGTCGCAGGGAAGCTCTCTGCAAGATACATTGCGTCTTCTCACTCTTTGGTTCGCTCATGGTGGCCATGTGGAAGTCAATCAAGCCGTTACCGAAGGATTTTCTTCTGTTAGCGTTGATACTTGGTTAGAAGTCATTCCCCAACTTATTGCACGCATCAACCAACCAAATGCTCGCGTTCGCGCTTCCATTCATAATCTACTTGCAGATGTTGGCAGAGCTCACCCGCAAGCACTAGTCTATCCATTGACAGTCGCTATGAAATCCGCCCCCAATACACGTCGTTCACGATCAGCCATGCAAATCATGGATAGTATGCGACAACACAGTCCGAAATTGGTAGACCAAGCAGATCTTGTTAGTAAAGAGTTGATTCGTGTGGCAGTATTATGGCATGAGCAATGGCATGAAGGTCTCGAAGAGGCATCCAGACTGTACTTTGGCGACCACAACATCGAGGGCATGTTCAACACACTCGCACCTTTGCACGATATGCTCGATAACGGCCCGGAGACCTTGCGAGAAATCTCCTTCGCTCAAACATTTGGTCGTGATCTCCAAGAGGCTCGAGAATGGTGTATTACCTACCAAAGAACGAAGGATCTTGGAGATATCAATCAAGCTTGGGACCTGTACTATCAAGTCTTCAGAAGAATCGCACGCCAGTTACCGCAACTCAACAATCTTGAGTTGGCTTACGTGTCCCCCAAGCTTCTCAATGCTCATGATCTGGAGTTGGCTGTCCCTGGAACGTATCAAAGTGGGAAGCGTATCATATCGATCGTCAATTTCGATAGCAACTTCAGTGTCATTTCTTCCAAGCAACGTCCAAGGAAGCTTAGTCTTAAGGGAAGTGACGGTGTCGCTTATGTCTTTTGTCTCAAAGGACACGAAGATATTCGACAGGATGAACGTGTCATGCAATTGTTTGGTCTCTGCAATACCTTACTCACCAGCGATTCGGAGTCATATAAACGTCATCTTAACATACAAAGATATCCTGCCATTCCATTGTCCCAGAATTCCGGTCTTCTTGGCTGGGTGCCTAACAGTGATACTCTGCACGTCCTCATTCGGGAGTACAGAGAAAGCAGGAAGATCTTGCTCAACATCGAACACCGTATCATGTTACAAATGGCCCCCGATTACGACAATCTTACCCTCATGCAAAAGGTTGAGGTCTTTGGTTATGCTCTCGATAACACAACTGGCCAAGATCTTTATCGTGTGCTTTGGCTAAAGAGCAAGAGTTCCGAGTCCTGGCTCGAGAGGCGTACAAACTATACTAGATCATTAGGAGTGATGTCTATGGTCGGATACATTCTTGGTCTTGGTGATCGTCATCCTTCGAACTTGATGCTCGATCGAATAACTGGTAACATCGTTCATATAGATTTTGGAGACTGTTTTGAAGTTGCTATGACTCGTGAAAAATACCCCGAACGAGTTCCGTTCAGGTTGACTAGGATGTTGACATATGCTATGGAAGTTAGCAATATTGAGGGAAGTTTCAGAATAACCTGCGAAAATGTGATGAGAGTATTAAGAGAGAACAAGGAGTCTTTGATGGCAGTTCTCGAGGCTGTGAGTCTGATTCCATTTCCTTCAAAGACAAATTGCTGACAAACCAGTTCATCCATGACCCCCTTCTTAATTGGCGTTTGAACGGCGAAGCTTCGCCTGTAGGACCTAACTTCCGTTCAGAGCGCCGGGAATCCATTATCGCTGCTCAGAACCGTAGGCCTTCAACAATGGATGAATTCGTTCAACCTGCAGCGTTGACTGCGGATGCTGGAGATCCTATAGCAGCTCCAGGTGGACCACCAGCTTCACGTCCTCGTGCAAGAACGAATTCTACGACTCAAGGCCCTCAGGATATCGAGGCACACGAAAACCAGAATACGAGGGCAGTTCAAGTACTGGTGCGCGTCAAGGAGAAGTTGACGGGGCATGACTTCAAATCAGACGAGGAACTACCGTATATTCAGCAAGTTGATAAATTGTTGATTGAGGCGACAAAGTTGGAGAATCTTTGTCAACATTATATTGGTTGGTGTAGTTTCTGGTAATTCTTCGACTGAGAGTTATTGGCAAGTGGCAGTAGCAAGCAAGATCTACTTGTATATCCCAGTTGTTACATCATGCATGGACAGGGCGTTTAGGAATGGGAACTCGCGATATATGGTGGATAAATCTGGACTACAAATCGAAGCGAAGGAAGGGAGACTTGTGTAATACTCTTGTGCATATAAACAGCTGGGTTTTAATTCATACAAGAAGATTTTTGACCGCTTTACACTGTTATATTTACGGCAGATTGGAGTACGGGGCGTTGGGATTCAGGGGTTCGAAGCGATTCATAGTTATGGTAGTTGAGAGTTAAAGGTCATATTGCTAGGAACATATGTTCAATTTTAGTCAATATAAACTCGAATGAACTAGTCAAGTCTGGTCGTAGCTTGTTGTCGTGACACTAGACGATAGTTTAAATCAGGATGAGCATGAGGTGAGGGGTGATGGTTTTTTCTTTCAATATTGCTCATCGCATATTCCCGCGACAAATCTGATTCGAAAAAGGGAAAAAGAAAAAGAACATCGAGGTGTGTTCGTCGGTAAAAGATTCGGGTGGAAGGTAACGCATTCATGATTATATTTTTGTCATTTTTACCTTGGTACAATTTTTTCGAGTGCTTACCATATTGTAATTACAGCATTGATGTCATCCTCTCTGCTTCTCTCGTTGGATGAGGAGAGACCTCCCCGTCCTTTTATTTAGTTGCCTTTAAACGAGAGAAGCAGATGATAGAAGGAGTGAGATTGGCTGGGAAAGCTGTACATTCACATCAAATATTCACTGTTTTCTAATCAATATGGCCCCTTAGCCAAAAGGAAAAGTAAAAATAAAATTTAAAAGTTATCAATCAGGAAATTGTTTCATTCACACCGGGTATGCAATCTTCCATCTTGCATACATAGGACAAACGACGATGCCTATTATTCAAATTCTGGTTTGCTAAAGATCCAGTCTTTGACCTGTCATTTTTGCTTACTTGTGCTGCCTATATTACAATTCTTTCTTTCTTTTGCATGACTTCTATACTCCCAGTTGGAAACTAACTTGACTACAATTATATCTACCAAATACATCGATACCTCACCACAGCTTCGACCTACAAGGAAGGCAAATTTTGATCTTTACCAACAATGCCTGCGATCCCGGATTTCGATCTTTACGAGGCTCTCGAGGTCTCTAAGGATGCATCTGCACAAGATATCACAGCTTCGTACCGTCGACTAGCAAGAGTCCATCATCCTGATAAGAATCTTAACAATGTCAATGCCACTGCCAAATTTCAAAAAGTGAGTTGAAGATATTATCCGGTGCGCTCAGGCTGTTCAATGCACCATACTTCACTACACAAATTCAAGCAGCTAAATTGATATGCATATAGGTACAAGCTGCTTACGAAATACTTTCTGATGAGCGTCAACGCAGAGATTATGACCAGCCAGTTCTTTCCAACCTATCTAGTGGATCCAGACAGCAGTACCACCCACAAGAGAACTATGAGGATGAGTATGATGAGATGGAGGAGATGATGTTCGACCAGTTTTTCCGCATGTTCTTTACTCGCGCATCATCAAGACCCAGCTATGACCGATCTGCTGAATTTGAGGCTGAAATGGAGCGTATGGAACGCGAAGATAGATTGAGGAGAGATGCAGAGGCTGCCTGGGAAGCCGATCGAGCCGCTGCCCGACTGGAAAGAGCGCGACGAAACGCTGCCGAAAAGGCGAAACGCGACGCCAAAGCCGAGTTGAAGAAGACAGTGGAAGATGCTGCAGCTACTCTGAAAGAGAAGACTAAGATGGAATATAAGTTGAAGATGGAGATTAAATTTTCTGCCAACGGTTGCGTCACGGATGCTGAAAAGCAAGCATGCTGCGAGCATTGCTTTTTTTGGCCAAAGGAACAAATGAAGAAAAAGTTCAAGTGTTTGACTTGTGGCCAGAAGAGAGGTATGACACAATATAAGTGCCCATACTGCGCCTTAGTCCTCTGCCAATTGTGTCTTAGTGCAAAACGGTTCACAAAGAAAATCTAAGTTCAGTACCCCACTTTTCGGCCACCCCTCTGTTACGGGAGCTGCCTCTAGGGTCACGTGGAAGTGTCTAGAGATCTCTCGAGGTGGTTTAGACTAGACTTCAAGTAGGAATTCAATAAGGTTGTAACTGGTTGCAATTCTCGTAACTATAGTAATGAAACTAATGATTGTTCTTGAGCACGAAGCTCTACATTGTAATGAAACCCATTCCCTTATATAGACCTTCGTTCCTTGTTGTCCCATTGATCCCATCGTGTCCCACCAGGTGGGAGCAGTGGGATCCAGTGGGAATCTCTAATCCCGTGACTTTCTGATCAGGTGACTCGGTATGTTAGATGTCGTCGTAACACTATCCCCTTCCTAGCTTAGCGCTTGTCCCAAGCGTTCATAAAGTGAGTTTCCCCCACTTGATTAATTCCGTAGTGCCTTCCTTTCTGTTTGTTATGATGTCCGTTATTCGTTCTTCAAAATCTGTTGCTAGTCGTAAAAATATTTATTTTCGTTCTAAAGACAAAGGTGTCATTATGTCTTACAAGTGTAGTCGCTGTTTGGAGAAGAACCTTGAGTGTCGGGTGCTTCCAAATGCTGTGCGCTGTGGTGAATGTATAAAGAGTGTGGGTAGTGGTCGTTGTGATGTGTATGGCCACTCTGCGGGCGATTGGTCTCGTGTTAATTCTGAGGAAGAGCGTCTTGAGTTCGAGGAGGAGAAGGCTGCGAATGCTATGGCTGAAGCAGCTGCTCGGCTGGCTCCTGCGAAGGCAGAAGCGTGTTTTGCGGGAAAAGGCTGGCAAAATGCTTCAACATGACCTTCGTACTATTGAAGCTCTTGAAGAGTTTGAGGCTGAGGAACAGCGATTGGAAAATGAGCGTATTGAGAAGGAAAAGGAGTTGGCGTCTGTCTCTGCTACTGGCCCTAGCGACGGTTCCTTTGTTTTCGATTCTTCTTCTTTGGACCCTTCGATCCTGGCTTCAATGGATTCTCCTTCCTTCTGGGCAAATCCGGATATTGCTGGTGGAACGCCTCCAACTTCTCAGGGCAGTTGAGGTTTGTTCTTGGTTCCCATGAATTTTCGGTATGTGGATAATCTAACCATTTGATCAAATATTTAATTGTGCCTCTGACGTATTTACAATCTAGTATTGTTTCGACATCGTATATGGCGTTCGGGTTGACTGGTTCGATTTCCGTTAATGGCGTATTCGGCGCTCCTGGTGGTGCTGGTTCGAGCAAGGATATATGGAATACTGGGTGAATATTCATTGTGTCTGGTAATTTCAATCGATAGTTAATCGTTCCTATTACTTTATCAATCTTGAATGGTCCTAGTTTCCTGTGGTCGAGTTTATTGCTTGGTCTTTTGGTTTCAATGTTTTGTCGTAGCAAATAAACTTTATCCCCCTCTTTAAGCGTAGGTCCCATATTACGTTTCGTATTATAGTACGCTGCTGTTCTGGATGATATGAATCTTAGATCGAGAGTAAGCTGCTCTTGTAAATCCTTTAATTGTTCGACTTGTATTATTGCTGATTCGGCATTAACCTTCTGTGGTATCGGTGTTTGGTATGCTTTAGGATTAAACCCAAAGTTCGCGTGTGCTGGTGTAATCTTTGTAGTTTCCGATTCCGATGTGTTATATGCGAATTGTGCCATAGGTAATAGCTCTACCCAATTGTCCTGTCGATAATTTATGTAGCATCTAAGATATGCTTCCATTGTCTGATTGGTCCTTTCTGTCTGACCATCTGTTTGTGGGTGGAAAGATGTCGATAACTTTCTCTTGATACCCATAAGTGCTAATAAGGTAGTCCAGAATTTCGAGGTAAAGAGCTTGTCTCTGTCCGAGATTATCTCATCTGGTACTCCATGTATGCTTACTATAACCCTAAAGAATACATATGCTAGTTGCTTAGCAGTCTATGTTTCTTTGAATGGTATCATGTATGCAAATTTTGTCAATCTGTCTACTACGTTGAGTATTGCGTCGTACTCAACTCCTATAGTAGGGTCTTTCGAGAGTGGTAGTTTGACCACAAAGTCCCATGTAATGGACTTCCATGGCTGAGAAGGCATGTCTGGGGTCTGGAGCTGACCATACGGAGCGTGTCTAGAGGACTTATTCCGTATGCAGGTATCGCAATTTCCAACAACTTCTTCAACTATCGTTCTCATTCGTGGGAAGTAACTGATTTCCCGTAATCTTGCGAATGTTCTCGCAATTCCCTGATGTCCATGTGCCGGCAACCCGTGTTGTTCCGTCACGAATTCCTTAGTCATTCGACTAGGAATGTATACTTTTCCGTGGAAGTATATGATCTCGTTTTCTATCGTGAATCCTGGTTCTATTGTCTTGCGTATGCGTATAGCTGTAGCATCCTTGTCGTAATGTGATTGGATTTGACTCCTGAGATGGTTGTCTTCCAATATATGAGTAGCTGCAAGCTGTGGTGCATTGTAAACCAGTGATTCGCCTTCTTTCTTGAATATAGCGTACGATTCGTACGACTTATTTTCTTGATATCCTGGTTTTCGGCTAAGAGCGTCGGCTCTAGCGTTTTCTGATCCTTTGACATATGAAATCTTAAAATTGTAGTTGGCCATGGTTTCCGACCATCTGACCTGTCGTCTGTTTAACTGCTTCGTTGTGGTGAAGTAAACCAAGTTCTTATGATCCGTATACACCTGTACTGTGTATTTTGATCCTTCCAAATATACTCGCCATTCTCTAAATGCGTCGACTATCGCCAGTAATTCTTTGTCATATATTTCGTAGTTCAATTCGGCTGGTGATAGCTTTCGAGAGTAGAATGCGATTGGTTGCTATTTCTCATTTTGACCTGGTTGGCTCAACACTGCGCCTATAGCAAAATCTGAGGAGTCCGTTTCCACTATGATTTGCTTCTCAGGATCGAATGTCAACAGTATTGGCTCCTCGGCCACTGCCTGTTTGAGCGTTTCGAAGGACTCCTGCGCCTTGGCGGTCCATTCGAAGCTTCCTTGATCTTTTCTGGTTAACGTGGTTAAGGGTGTAGTAATCCCTGAATAACCCTTGATGAATCTTCTGTAGAAGTTGACAAATCCCAAGAAGGACTGTACTTCTTTGATTGTGGTTGGCTGCCTCCATTCGAGCACTGCCTTAACCTTGTCTTTGCTCATCTTGAGCCCTTGGCTTGATACGGTGAATCCTAGAAACTCTGTTTCTGTGACGTGGAATTCACATTTGCTTAGTTTGCATAGCAAATCAACTTTAGCCAAACATTCGAGGATGTTGCTGACGTCTTTGACGTGTTGAACTTCGTTGTTTGAATATACTAGAATGTCGTCTAAGTAGCATATACAACAAGTGTCCAAATATTGTGACAGCACATTATTCATAAGCCTCATAAATGTTGCTGGTGCATTGGTTAGCCCAAATGGCATAACCTGGTATTCGTATAGCCCGTATCTGGTTTTGAAAGCGGTTTTCCATTCTTCGCCTTCTTTTATTCTAATCAAGTGGTAGCCATTGCGTAAGTCCATCTTGGTGAATATCGTTGCTCCGCCTAATCGATCTCTTAGTTCCGTAGCTAATGGAAGTGGATATCGATCCTTTTTGGTAAGCGCATTGAGCTTTCTGTAGTCCACAACTAGTCTCTTAGTACCATCCTTCTTGGGTACCCACATAGTTGGACTTGCCACTTGGGACGTGGATTCTCTGATCCATCCCTTGGCTGAGTTGTCGGCGATATATTCTTTGAGCGTCTTTAGCTCATCGGCTGACATTGAGTAAATTGGGGTGTGCACAGGCATCTTGCCTTCCTCCAATATTATCTCGTGATCCCATGGCTTGTGTTCTGGTAAAGCCTCATGGATCCCTGGTTCCTTGAACACATGTTCGTATTTCTTGTACTGTTCTGGTATCATAGGCTCTTCTGCCTTGATTGCGATTTCCTGCCGTGTCGTTGGCTTCTGCATTTGTAGAGGAGGTGTACTGGCCTTCGCTCTTAATGGAGGACCCTGGACTGGGTGTCCTACGTCGCCGGGATTGTTCGCGTTCAACTCCCCTTGGCGCGTGTTCCGTCTCGCGGACGCCTTGAACGTGTCCTTGTGACCGTTCTTGCACTGATCGAATGTCACTGTCTCTTGTGACCAATCTATCTTAGGATTGTGTGCCTTCAACCATGGCATCCCTAAGATGATCTGTTGTTGGCCCAATGGCACAACGTCAAGCTGTATAACCTCTGAATGTTGGGTTATGTTCATTTGTACTGGTCGTGTCTCCTGTGAAACGTTCCCGTCAGATCCTGCTAGTTGTCCGTCAACTAACTGCAATTGGTAGGGTTTTTGTTTCTTCTGGAGTGGAACTCCCAAGTACTTTGCAGCTTCTGGTGCAATAAAGTTTCCTGTAGCCCCTGAATCTATCATGGCTTGCTGTATTTGTCCGTTTATTTTGACCTTGCAGTATATCTGTCCTGCTTGTCCTGTAGCATTCAATTGCTGGGTAACTTGTTTTTTGTCTGTTTCGTTGGATTGTTGGTTTCTTGTCTTTCTTTTCTTGGGGAACCATCCGGTTGCTTCTTTATCTGATCGATGGATTCCGCAGAATTCATCATAGCAAGCAGTCCAGCTCATCATCGCGTGATCTGCTGGTATCTCTTCCTTAATACATTCTTCCGTTACCGACGGTGATGGGGTTCGGTAGTACTCCTGTTCCCACAAGTCTACTGCATTCATACCCTCTTGGTTTCGCGGTAACTCATCCAATAATTTCCGGAATTCTTCAATGGTGAAGGTCTCAGTTTCTTCGGTCTTAGCTGGATGTTCCTGGGATACAAAGGTAGCGTTAAGTTGGCCTTTGCCGAACTTGGGTTTGAAGTTGCCTTTCTTTCCTCCTGTCTTCTTGTTTCGGCAATCCGCTGCCCGATACCCTGCTTTTCCACATTCAAAGCATAAGTTGTTTTCTCGCCTTCGTCTTTTCTCTGGGTCATCATTCCCGTTTCTATGGTGCGTGGCGTCTAGTTCCATGGGGTCCCCGTAACTCTGTCTACTGTAACGTGGTCTACCCTCATTCTTGCGGTAGCGCCCTTGCCTATGATTTGTCTGAGGCTTGTATGATCGTTGGGTTTGTTTGTA